ACATGACATTAAGAACTGGATTTTAATTATTTATTTCCTACAAGTAAGACAAGTATGGTTTAGAAAGAATGAATAATCTCTCCAACTTCATTTAGCTATAATTGGAGAATTTGTGCTCTCGTCTCCCTGTTTCCAAAGCTTAAAGGTGACTGTTCTCTGCTGATCCTCACAATCCACCAGAAAAGTCTTCAGGCATGATCAAGAATGGGATTCAAATGGGATTCACAGTGTTTATGATATTTGGATCATGCATGACATGTTGGAAACGGAGTTTGTAGCAAATTGTGTTTCTCAACCATTCTTGCTGAACAAGGATAATGAAGACAGAATAAAATATTTCTTCCTAGGATTCTACCAAAATATTCCCATCAATTTACTCATGAGTCCATCTTGTACCTCTTGCATTTTCAGATACTTTTATTGAATACCTTTTTGGTTTAGCATATGTTTTACAGCAGCTTTAACATCCTTATTCCTCAAGCTATAAATGATAAGATTCAACATGGGGATCACTTCCCCATAAAACAATGGAATAAGTTTGTCTGAAGTTTGCAACTTGTCTTCCTCATTCAGGTCTTGGGACTTGGGTTTTGCATACATAAAAAAGATGGTGCCATAGAATATGACCACCACAGTTAGTTGAGCAGGTAGAAAAGGCCTTGCGTCTCCCTGTGGCTGAGTTCATTCTCAAGATGGTGTAGAGGATGAACATGTAGGAGAAGAAAATGACCAGCAGTGGGAGAACCAGGAAGATAATATTTGCTATTGACATGGTAATAATATTGAGGGATATATCAGCACAAGCTAGCTTGAGGACAGCTAAGATCTCACATGTGAAGTGATTGATAATGTTCGTCCCACAGAATGGCAGTCGCATGGCAAGAGAGGTTTGCACAGCTGAATTGATTCCACCAGACAGCCATGATACAGAGGCCATCAATATACACACCCTCTTGCTCATGATGATGGGGTACCTCAGAGGGTTATAGAGGGCCACATAGTCATCAAAAGCCATCATGGCAAGGAGAAAACATTCTGTGGATCCCATGGCAAATCCAAAGATCATCTGTATTGCACATCCAGAGAAGGAAATGTTTCTTTTCTTTGAGACCAATCTCACCAATCCTGAAGGAACAGTGGATGATGTGTAGCAGATATCCAGGAAGCAGAGGTTACCCAGGAAGAAGTATGTAGGAGTGTGAAGATGAGACTCAAAGATGCTTGCTGTGATCAGAACACCATTTCCACTTAGAATCACTAGGTATATAATTAGAATGAGAGTAAAGAAAATGAGCTCTAGTGGGATAACCAGAGAGTCCCAGAAGAATGAATTCTGTCAAAAATGTCTGATTTATCTTGTTCATGTCCTAGCTTTCACAATGTCAAAGGAACTTCCAACACAAAAACTTTTCAGGGTCAAGGAACAAATATAAAATATATCTTTAGAATCATTTTTCTAGGGTGACAGAGTGCTTCAATAGTGTCATTCAGTTATCTTCCACAGAGTACCTAAAATATGATACCACGATATTGAGAGTTTCTCTGTCATGTTTCGAATATCTGAAGATTTATCTAGGATCAGAAACAAATTCAGAAGCTACTTTCCTTACTATGGGCAACACTGTCCCTTGACCTTTCAAAATCCCTAGAATATTGCAGACAATGAACCTGACTACTTCATCTCATCAGTCCCAGTGAGAACAGTGGGGATGGACAACTACAAT